CACTGGAATCCAATGTTCGCGCAAGACGATGCTGTTATATAGTAGGTGACGATTCTCCTGAAGATTAGGGGAAAAAAGGGGGAAGGGTAATTAGTGTTGTAAATAAAGGGTATTTTAAAACTTTTATATGGATTTTTGATTATATTTGTGAGAATTGTAAAAATTAGACTAAAAATCATTTCATAGTACAAAGTATGACTAGTTCTCAAAATTTCGCTGGCTCTTGACCTTGAGCGTGTATTCTTTTTATGCTCTTAGCATCTTTTTTTTTACACCAAAAAAAGCTATGTGACTGATAAAAATAAACGGTTTTAACGAAAAAAACTTCAGTACTGTTCACTTTAATAAAAAATTATATTTTTATACTAAAAAGTTAAATATGATACTATTCACTTTAATCTTTATTTTGTTCTTATCGTTAAAACTCAAAATTTTAAAAAAAAATTCATTAGTTTTCCATAAAAAACATGGGAGGTGGTTTTTAATCAACTTTTATAGTTGCTCACACACACTTTTTATTTTGGTCATCAATTATAATATAAAAAAGACTAACTTAAACATGGGTGTGTAAAAAAATGTAGAGTTTGTGTTTATCATTTCCTTAGAGATCCTGTATTGATGATGAATAACCTCAAATGGTCGGCCGGGGAATAAATCTTTTGTTTATTTACATGAATTTTTTTTTAAAATAAAATAAAAAAGAGGACCAGCTAATGGTCATGCCACGGTAGTCCACTTTTATGGGAGCTAGAAAGACTCACAAAGACATTTCAGCCTTCCTCTACTCACCATTGTATGATTCACTTGGTTGTATCTTGTATGTGTTGTAGTTTTTATTTAAATTTTGTGTCTATATTGTTGAAACAAAATTTGTGATTGTTTTTTTTTTTTAAAGTAGCCAAATTCCCACTTTGTTGCCATTCCTTATTTACACACACACACACACGCACACATTGCTATTTTTGCCCGTATCCAATTATAAAAAGGGATTTGCACCCACTAATTTTTTTGTTATTTTGTTGATAATTATAAGAATTAATGTTGCCATCCATCATAATCGGAAGTTCGTAGTACATGAATGCAAGCAATAGCAGATGAGACATAATCCAAATTTGGTCATACAACAAAGCGGCAAATTGTTGCAAATTCTCCAACTTTTGGTTCTTAGGTTGCTCCGTCTTATCTTTGAACGCCCGATTGTTATCATGAGATCTAGTTTTAAATTTCTATTGCATTATAAATACATAACATTACAAACAAATAGCTTAGTTATAGTTAAAATTCAACAAGAATACAAACCATCTTTCTCCTAAGTTTTATAAAACAAAGGCTTTTTAGTCAAAATGGTCCCTGAGATTGTCATAACTTTTCATTTTGATCTCTGAGATTTAAAATTGATAGAAGCGGTCCCTGTGATTGTCCATTGTAATCATTTTGATTATTCTGTGAAAAATATCCATTAAATTGAAGAAACTACTAGTTCAAGGGGATGGGTATTTTTGATAAAAAATACTTTCAATTTCACGGAGATTACTCACAAGATGACCAAAATGATTGACGGTGAATAATCTGAGAGACTACTTCCATTGACTTTAAATTTTAGGACCAAAATGGAGAGTTATACCAATTTCAGAAATCATTTTTAATAAAAAGCCTAAAACATATGTCAAAGGATCGAAACAAAACAAGAAAAAAAAAAGAATTATAAGAAAGAAAGACAACAAGTTGCCTAATAAGACAGGCTATTGGAAGGAAACTCTCATAAAACGGGAACCCTCCGTAGACTCTGTCCCCTTTGTTTTTCTTCTTTTGCGCAATATTTTATACTAGTGACATAAAAATTAACATTAAATTATAAAATAACAGATAATTCATAAAAAAAATCTTATTTTTAAGAGAATCCCTTATTTCTCCTGCTCAAAGTGCTCCTGCAAGGATCAAGATCCTCTCCTGATCCTTGTATGGGGATTCTCATGACCAAAAAGTGTAGACCGTTAGATTTTCATCTAACGGCTACAAACAAAGGAGTCCCTTTAAAGTTATAATAATTATAGCCGTTGAATTTTCATCCAACGATCCACACTCCTTGATCATAAGGATCCTCATCCTTAGATCAGAAGAGGATCTTGATCCCTCCTGCAACTACCACTATTTAGTAAATTAGTTATGGAAATTATTATCAATCAGTATGCGAGCACTCACTGTAGTGATCAGAGACCAAATAATTAAATTGGAAAATAAAATATTAATTAGGGCTTTAAATAAAGTCGACAAATGTACGAAAGAAACAAGCAGGACGGCTTCGGTTGTCTGACACGCTGTTCGAGGACTGGTTAATTAGTTGTCCCAACAGGAGTCACTATTTCAGTCAAGCAACTTGAAAAGATGGGCTCCTGGCCCATGCTCCCACCAGCCCACCTTTTGTAATTGCTTAAATCACTTTATTGCCCTTGTCTATAATTTTTACTATTTATGGATGATGTTATCGTTACTATCTTTTTTCACTTTTTCAAGTGCATTCTTTAGGGTGTCGGATGACTTTTTCAGAGAGTTGACAACAATCTAATTCTTAAATTAGTCCCGTTAAGTTTGAGGGGAAGGGTGGTTTTCTTTATCAGAAGGTTGGTCTTTTCTAATCGCCTTAAACAGAAAGGAAGTATCCTACAATAGTAGTTGGGAACTAAACTCTGAGATCTTAACTCATTATGTGAGTAAGGCTACATTAATAATGCGATGGTCAAACTTTATGTGTATTTACGCTCGACTATCCTTCATCTCTTACTAGCTACTCTTTTTTTTTTCTTCAGTTTTTCCTCTTTATATATTGGTTTGTTAAGTTTCTTCAATAATATCATATCGATCTTTACTTCAAAAATAAAGTTTTTATTTTTATTTTTTATTTTGTCTGCGCACTATTGACAGAAGAGAGAGATCGAATGAATGACCTTACTCTTTGAGCAACAAGCTATTTACATTCTTGTTTTATCAAAGAAAGTCAATTTCAATCCATATATTTACTATCGTATAAAAAGTGGTACGCCTATCATATTTTGGGAACATATATATGTTTCACCAATGTATTAGTTCACCTCTACTGAGATTAAAAAATTACTGAACAAATATGGTAGATTACAAGTCGAGCTTAACAGGAAACTGTTAATCTTATTCAATATTGTTATTAGAATCATGAACACTATGTGTGACCGTATCTAACGAGTCTTTTACCAAAAAAATTATAAAAAAAAAAAAAATAACTAACATTATGAAGGAATTTTATGGCGTACATTTGTCCACCCAAGTAAACTTTCCTAAAAAAAGTAGGAAGAAACATTCAAATTGTAAAAAATTGGATGAGGAAACCATGATTAGATAGCTAGTATTAGGAGAAGGGTTTCGTCAATCACTTTCTTTATTATTAAGCGGGAGAAAATGAGATGCATGCATTTACAACGTGAGCAAACAAATTGTCACGAGTCTGACAGCTTTCATCAATATGCAACGCTCCCTCTTTCATCACTTGTTTATTCTGATCACCTAAATATTGTCGTGTTATAAACACTCATCACACTTCACTACTTTACTTGCAAATTAGCTCAATCAATCTTGAACGATTGTAAAACGTAAAAACTCACGTAAATTATATTTTTTTTTTTTCTAAAATGATCTAATAATGGAGATATTTTTTAGAAGATAGTTATATTGTTGCATGATGTTATCAATCTACGTATTGTAATAAGAAAAAAATGATAAAAATGACATGTTACGGACCTAGAATACGCTTAGAATATAATAATACGAATCAGATACAAATACAATACGAGTCACGTAAATTAACCATGTAACAGTCACACAATTCACACCAAAATTACTCCTTATAATGACACTACTAATTTTGCTACTTAACATACAAAGAAGCACGATATTGCCTATAAAAACCTCATAATTTTATGACCATATATGTGGGTAAAATTACCTTTTTAACCCTGCTATTTAATTTGCTCACATTGAAAACCACCGCCCCCACTATATTTCCTAATAAAACCATACATATCCGTTTCAAGCATACAACGAGTGGAGAAAAACACCATCTTTATGATCCACCACCCCCACTGAATTCCCCGACATATGAATTACCTAATTACATTTACTGCCATTTAAAAAAAAAATTATCTGCTTGTGCAGCAAGTAAACATGATGCTGTCCGTGCACGTCACCGATTCCGGCCAATCACGCACCGGAACATGCGGTTCCAGCACTTGAAAAAACCTTTTTCCGGCGACTCTGTGAGCCTAGACTTGGGGGGAAGGCATGCAGTGGTTAAGGAGATAAAAACAGGCTAATAAAAATGTCCTCGTATTTGAGGTTGCCTGCCATGTGATTCTTAGCTGTAAGTTACACACAAAAATAAGGTAAATAAGGTAAAATTTTCAGATGGTGAAAAATTTACATTTAAAAACCTCTTAAGTAAAGCCATATTCTTCTTTTTACTGCTGCAATGACGAAAACACCCCCGACTGGTGAGCTCGGTAACGGAACGTTAATCAGTAATTAATAGCCATTCGATGGGGAGTAATATCACTAATTAATCTAGTTTTCAGTCAAAGATGTGTCCTGTCACGTGACCCGAATCCCGAATTCCAAGAATAAGTTTTTACTCCAGCTGCTGAGTCAGCTCGGCCCCCACACTTGACCCTTCCACCCTTCCACCCTTCTTCTTCTCCCTTTGGATCTCCTCCTCTCAGCGGTCCCACTTCTCCACGTGTCACGCACCCCTGCCCGAATTATGCGGCGCCTCGTAAAATATCTGCGAGTCCCGCCGGACTCACTCCCGGCACGTCCCGGCCCCACCCGCCTTCTAATTACATTAATTATGAAAAATAGATTTAATTATTCGGGGGACAGAAAAGGCAAAAAGAAAAAGGATTTGAGATGGCAGTTGAACCGGGTTTAGCGATTACGGCTGTTGGGGGATCCTATAAAGTGGGTAGTTTTGGTATCCAGCGAGACGGTGCTTCTTCTTTTTCTCTCTCACTTACTCCACACACTCCCCTCATTTCTCACTACACCCACCACCGCTGCCGCCGCCGCCGTCACCACTCTCTCTGCTTTTCAGAAACCGATTCCGAAAACATTTATTCCCCTCCCTTTCACCTTTTGCCTTTCGGAGCTTTTCTGAAAATCTCCCATTCTTTTCCCGTACCGTTTGCCGAGAAGGCCTGCCGCTTCCTCCCTCACGCTCTTTCCCTTTTCACTCCTTTTCTTGACGACGCTTTCCGTGAAATTTCTCGTCGTTTTATGGTACTTTTTGGTATGTTTCACTCCGTTTCGAGCAGCAGAAGCAGCTTCTCCTTCACGCCTGTTTCCGCTTCTTTTCTCTCACTCTCTGTCTTTATTATTCTCTCCGCCTCGTGTGCTCTGAAAGAATCTCATCTTTTTCCTTCTGCTTCTCCACCTCTATTTTAACTCACCACCGCTGACTCGCTCACCCACTCACTCACTCTCCCGACTCGCTCTCAATGCCACTCAGCTTCTGATTTGTACTCTCCTTTGATTTTCTTCCGAGCGATATGAATCATCCAGCTGTCAAATACACGCAGCATCGGAGCCACACCAAGATGGTGGCAAATTCGGCGGAAACGGCGGAGTTCAAGTTGGTGAGGCCGCGTGTTGTACGGATAACGGTCACCGACGGAAACGCCACCGACTCCTCAAGCGACGACGAGGCCGAGGAGTCTTCGTTTCCTGGTGCTCGCCACCGGGTCAAGAGGTTCGTCAACGAGATTACTATAGAGTCCTGCTCAAACAGGGACACCGACTCTGCAGTTTGGAGGAGTCAGACTACGAGGACCGGGAGGAAGAGGCCGGCTGGAAAATCTAGAGCTCAGGCGAGGGGTCGGAGGGATTTGAAGGCCATTGCTGCTCCGGCAGGGAAGAAGTTCCGTGGCGTGAGACAGAGGCCATGGGGAAAATGGGCGGCGGAGATTAGAGATCCTCTGCGACGTGTACGGCTCTGGTTGGGAACGTTTGACACGGCCGAGGAAGCGGCTGTGGTGTACGACAACGCTGCCATTCAGCTGCGTGGAGCCGACGCGCTCACCAACTTCGCTCCTCCTGCGGCGATATCTCTGCCTGACGTTAAGCCGGAAGTTAGCTCGGGCTTTTATTCCGGCGACGAGTCGCACAACCACCTTTGCTCTCCGACTTCCGTGTTACGGTGTCCCTCGCCTTCCAACGAAGAGGGAGAGTCGCCGTGTCCGAAACAAGTTCCGGAAGCCACTGAAGCCCGAAATGTCCGAGAAGACTCTTGCGTTTCGGAGAGCTTGTCCGAGTTTTCCGATTACAGGAGTTTCGAAACGTTTATTCCGGACGACATGTTTGACTTCGAAACCTCGATACCTGACTTCTTTGAGGAGACGAGTCTCGGAGATGATGTCGGTATTTTGAAGGAAGAAATGACCGATTTCGGAAACCTGGGCGAGATGTTCGTCGATTCCGTTTGGGATTTCGGGTTCGGTTCGTCACCATGGTGCACCGACGACTATTTCAAAGACATCGGCGACTTCTTTAGTTCCGATCCTCTTGTTGCCCTGTGAGACGACAACGTATGCAATAATGTAGTTTTCCAGTCGTGTATAGCCGGTTTTACGGCTAATTTTGGATCGGCGGGAACGGAAAATCGGAATGTGTTTAATTTAATTTTTAATATTTTTTGCTCTTATCAGTTTTGGTTTGTAATTGATTATTTACTAAGGTGAATGGACGGTTAGTTCAAGTTTTGGCCCCAAATTGTGTACGGTGCGTTTGTTCTTTTTCATTACCACGTGCCGGTGGCACGTGACTGGCACAGAAGTAAGTCCTTGAAGGTAATATGGATTTTATAACATTTTTTTATTTTGCCTAATTTGCAAACGCATGTGGAGGTGCACTGCACAAGTGCTGGGTTTATTTTAGAAATTTGAATTATCAAAATTTAAAGGTTATTATTTTGAGTTGATAAGATTTGGACCCAATCTAATATAATTCTGACTAGTTTACATAGTTGTAGGTGCAAGTTACACAATACCAATAAATTTGGATTCAGATACTCTTCAACACTTGAAAGTTTATCTATACATTAGAGAGTGAAAAATGGGCTAATCTCTCATAATGAGTTAGACATAACTTCTAAATAAGAGAACTACAAACGATTCAACTTAGATAATTTATGCATACCAATTCCTTGGATGAGCTTCTGAAATGTAGCATTGGGCAATGACTTGGTGAAGAGATCAGCCAGGTTGTCATGAGAACGGATTTACTTGACTTCAATGTTCTGATGCTGCTGGTGTGAGTAAAAGAATTTCATGCAGGGCGAGAATCTCAGCATGGTTCGACAAAGTCGTAACTAGCGTTTGCTTGGTAGACCTCCAAGATATAGCGCTATCTCCAAAAGTAAAGACATAGACCGTTTGAGAACGTGCCCTATGTGGGTAAGACAAATATCCAGCATCTGTGTAACCAATAAGGAGAGAATCAATCCGAGGACCATAGAGGGCGGCAGCACTCGGAGATTCGTGGGTATAGAACAAGCCCAAATCCATAGTATCCTTGAGGTAGCGGAAAATGTCTTTAACACCATTCCAGTGCATGCGTGTGGGCACATTGCTATATCTTGCCAAAAGATTCACAGCGAAGGAGATGTCAGGTCTAGTGCACTGAGCCAAGTACAATAAGGCCCTAATTGCACTTAGGTAAGGAACTTCGGGTTCCAAAATCTCTTCTTCATCTTTCTTTTGATGGAAGGGATCTCGTTTAGCATCTAGAGTCCGAACGACATGGGTGTACTCGAAGGCTTCGCTTTATCGCTTCGCTTTATCCTCATTAAAAAGTCGGAACACATTTTAGGTGTAGTTCAATTGATGTACTAGGATTCCATCCGAGCAATGCTTGATCTCCAGGCCGAGATGATATCGAGTTTTCCTAAGATCCTTTATCTCAAATTCCGATTTCAAGTGTGCAGCAATTTCCTCAAGCTCTGTTGAAGTCCCAATGAGGTTCATGTCACCGACATAAACTGCAACGATTGCAAATCTGGAATGTGACTTCTTTATAAACACGCAAAGGCATAATTCATTATTCACATAACTCTAACTTGTCAAATATTTACTCAGACAATTATACCACATCCGCTCGGATTGTTTTAATGCGTAAAGTGACCTCCTCAACCTAATTGAGAGAGTGTTCTGTGGTCTAGAACTGTTTGAACCAGTTAATGGAAGTCTTTTTGGAACTTTCATATAAATTTCCATATCTAGATCCCCATAGAGATAAGCGGTTACCATGTCCATAAGCTACATATTCAATTTTTCGGAAACTACCAAATTGATTAGGTAGCGAACGTTATAACGTCCATTACGGGGGAATACGTCTCCTTGCAATCAATCTTAGGGCGCTAAGAGAAGCCTTGCGCTACGAGGCGTGCTTTGTATCGCACTATTCTTCTTATTACGCTTCCTCACAAAAACCTACTTGTAGCCAACGGGCTTCACGAGTGGTGGTGTAGGAACTATAGGTCCAAACACCTTACGTTTCGCGAGTGAATCGAGTTCGACTTGAATTGTTTGTTTCTAGTTTGACCAATCGGTTCTACGTTGGCATTCATCAACGGCACGTGGTTCAATGTCATTGTTAAGCATGATGTCAGTAGCTACTGAGTACGCGAATGCATCGTCGACAATCATCTTATTCCTATTCCAAACCTCATCCAATACTGCGTAGTGGACCGAAATCTCGCGATTCTCAGAAGGCCGGCATGTTTCGTCTTAAGCATCACCGTAATCTAGAATAACCTCATGCATTGGAACAGATGAGTGAGCAATGGTCGGATTCAAACTAGGGTCACTAGTTGGTGCTATTTTCCTCTTCCAGGGTTATGAATCCTTTGAACTAGTGTGTTTGATTCACCCCATTGTGCCCTTATTTATAGTAGTAGGATAGGTAAAATCATTTTCCTTTAGGATTACAACATTTAATAGGTAATCTACTCCTAATAGGAATATAAGATACATTCTCATATCTATTAAGATTTATACAATCACATTCATATTCTAAATATGACTGCAACAATTTCCAACCAATTCATTTCTATTACAAACATATATATATATTAGTAACAGCATCTCCAGTATGATATATTAACTTCTGTGACGTTGTGAGGTCAAAATTGTTTCCTAGAACATTAGCATATATGTCAACAATTATTTGTTTGGCTGGAATTAATTCTACTACGTTAAAATGAAATTTAGATAATGATATAGGGGTTGTTTATTGACACTCCAAATTAACATGCTATCTTACACTCCCAATTTAGAGTTTTCTTTTTAATCTATTGCATTTCGGGTTCAAACTCTCACTCTTTCCTTTTATTAGTGTAAAAAATCATTTGTAAAAGCAAAAAGGTTAACAGTCTGCACTCATTTTTATACAAATTTCTCTTTAATTTAATAAATGTGTATGCTAATAACAACTGTGAATAAAACATCCAAATTTATATTGTTTAGATTATCACCGCTCCTTAGCTACTTAATTTTCTATACGAACTAGAAGAACACGAATTAGTGGTGTACCGTATTATGTTTTGAATAACTGAAAAAAAATAGGATTAGGATTCTCTCTATTCTTCTTTTCATTTTCTTCCATCTCCTCCTTTCACATTCTCTGTTTTATCTTTTTCTTTTTATAAAAAAATTAATATAAAATATTGACGTGACTTAACCGTAACCGTTCAAATAGGAATATAGAAAAGGAAAGAGAAAAAAAGAGAAGGGAGAATCCCACTCCAAAAAATATCTCATGAATCTTTACCATGTTGATAGGAGACTTGCCACGTTGTGATGGAATGTAGAAAGTGGAATTCATGCTTATACATAGTGGCAGGGTTATGGCTGTTCTGGGTGCGAGGGAGCTTGGGGGCTTTCATTTGCTCAGAGCCACACACGTGGATAGGGTGACCAAATGGGAGAGAGAGATAGAGAGAGAGACCAAAAAACAGCAATTTGGATGTACATATTTCTCTGTCAGACAATGAATAAAAATGTTTGATAAAAAAGAGAGAGAATTGTGTCGTGGAAATGAGGCTTGAAAAGATGCCAATTATTGAAGGGTTAGATGACATCTTTATTAGATATTTGATACAACCATGCCTGGATAGGATGGAGACGGACTAATAGTTTTTAGACATATATAGTCATGTTCCTTATGTAATGATTGGGTGGTTTGGATGCGTTTTCGAAAAGAATAATGTTAAGAAAATTAAAATGTTAAACTAAATGATAGTTGCCCAAAAATAAAAATTGGGTGTACAAAGAACCACTTTTTATAAAATATCAGTGCTTCATAGGTTTACAATTAAAAGAAAAAAGAGATACGCCCAACTGCATTAGATTTTTAAGAAGAAAAAAAAAAAAAAAATTCAATCATGTATACCACAACCACCACCTTATCATGGTCATTAGAACCAACACCTCGATGACCATTGTCACCATCACTGCCATCTCTACCATCATAATCTCCACCACACTCCATGCCACCACCACTCCACAAACAAATGTCACTGTCATATCACCTACCCTCATTGCTAGAACCACTGCTACCATCTTCGCCACCATCACCTCTCGCACCCTTAACCACCATTGCCTTTGGCACTACGCTTCACCACCATGCTATCACCACAATCGCCAACTCTCTACCATCACCTAAACCACCATTGCCACCACCAACACCATCCTTGCTACCATCATTGCAGCCACCATTTCCATGTCATCACTGCCATCACCATTGCTACCACATTCATTCTATAAGTATCAATGTACCACCACCACACCCACTACCATTGCCGCCAACGTCACCATGCACCACTATTACCACACAATGCCATCTCTAACAATTTAGGGCCCTTGTGCGAATTTAATAAAATGACTCTCCTTATTTTCAAAGAAAATAATTTGTTGGATAATTATTCATACAAAATTCAATAATCGACATTCAAACTTAATCGAAATCAGCATCTCACTCTCATTAGTTGAATGCTCTTTATGAAAAAAGAGCATGACTTGTAATGTTAGGCACTTTTAGACCCACATAATGGTACAGGCTGGGAAAGAAGCCACGAAAAGCCCAAGGGAGATTGAGAGTCCCAAGGCCCAAGGGACTTAGAAGAAGATACCCCCAAGCACTATAGTCGACCACCTATGAGCTTAGCCCAACCAGGATATGTAAAGAGCTTTTCGACTGCCCAGGCACGTGTGCAGGTTGATAGCTTATAGCAACAGTCTCCAAAAGCAGGTTTACCCATATGTCAATCAGGCCACGTGGAAGCCTCTGGTCAGTGGCAGAGAGGTAGAGACCTAGGATGGGACTTAAAGGTAGTTGAAGCAACGTTCGGAGAGGCAGAGTTGGAGAACCAAGACGGAGCAGGACACTTAGCCGGCATCACTTTGAGAAAACGTGTCATTTCAACTTAATACATGTCACTTCACTGTTGAGTGTTTGGTTGATATGTGGAAATGTGTCAGTATACTAGTTTACATTGCTATCGCATGAAATGTCAAGTTGGGATACCCAAGGCTGAGGGGTTCATTAAAGGCCTAAATGAAAGGGTGGGAACCTCCAATATTAAGGTCGGACAACTGGAAAAGAGAGAGAGAGAGTTCATGTTTTAGCCGAACGATATTTCTAGTCATGAAATCAAAATAATTTGAGCAACACAGTGAATGTAGCCCAGTTTTAAGGGAGTGAACCATTTAAAC